AGACCAACCTATCCCACAAGCCCACCAAAAATCTCCCCTCCGACATGAATCAACAAGGGCTTTTGCTGGATGCTGGAAGCAAGGCAGACAGTACACACACACACGTGCACATGAACAACACACACAAAGAAAAAGGTGCCAGCAGACTGTAAAACTCCATTATATTTGGAAACATTTATTCTTCATTGATAGGCCTACCCTCTTCCCTCATCCTATTTTAGACTGATGTAACATCACCATTTCCAGTTTTGAAAATCCACGTGGGACAGGCATTCAGCAAAGCAGTTAAGATCCCATATCCCATGTCAGAATGCATGGATCTGAATCCTAGCTCACTTGCAATTCCAACTTGCTGTCAACGCACACCTTGGTGGCAGAGGGTAATGGCTGAAGTAGTTTGGTCCACTATCCACTTGGGAGACCCAGTTTGAGTTCCTGGCTCCCAACTTCTGCTTGTGTCTAGCTCCAGTTGTTGTGGGCATTTGAGTAGAGAACTAGTAGATGGGTGATCTCTTCCATCTGTATCTCTTACTCTGTCTCTCTACTTTTCAAACAAAATAAATTTAAAAAATTTTTAAAAGTCAGAGAAATCATGTGCTACTTATAAAATAAGAATGATTTTTTTTTTCTATGTGGACCAGATGACAATGATGGCTACCTATTCATTCTCTTAAGATCTTATTCCAGGAGTCACACCCAACACCTGGAGGCAAGTGACATCAAGTCTGAAAGTGTCATAGCCATGATCTCTGCGTCATTTAGGAAGAGGAAAACACAGAGCAGAGAGGGTAGTGAAAGGGATCATAATTGCTCATCAATCCTAAGGGTAAATACACCCTGGATGGGGAAAAGGAAGAAGGCAAAGTCTCAGAGGTCCTGTTTCACTGTTAAAGCATAGTAGTGAAGTACCACTATGAAGGTTTGAAATTAGGTGGAATCAAGCCGGCGCCGTGGCTCAATAGGCTAATCCTCCGCCTTGCAGCGCTGGCACACTGGGTTCTAGTCCCAGTTGGGGCTCCGGATTCTGTCCCAGTTGCCCCTCTTCCAGGCCAGCTCTCTGCTGTGGCCAGGGAGTGCAGTGGAGGATGGCCCAAGTGCTTGGGCCCTGCACCCGCATGGGAGACCAGGATAGGCACCTGGCTCCTGCCTTTGGATCAGCGTGGTGAGCCAGCCGCAGCGCGCCGGCCGTGGTGGCCATTGGAGGGTGAACCAATGGCAAAGGAAGACCTTTCTCTCTGTCTCTCTTTCACTGTCCCCTCTGCCTATCAAAAAATAATAATAATAAAAGAAAAATAAATAAAAAAAAGAAATTAGGTGAATTCAAATCCCTGTTCTACCAATTCCTTACCAGCGGTGTGATTTGACCAAGATAATTCATTTCCTGAGCTTTCAATTTTCCCCATGCCCTAATGGTTCAAGAATGGCAGTACTCACACTACCAGTGAGTCCACACACTGCTGGATCTGGGAGTCCCTCGGCCACCTCAGCAGACCACAGTGGGCAGCAGAGCCTGCTAGTAAGATGCAAAGCCCCTGGAGGCCAGAACTCCAAAAGAAACCTTTTCATTCTTAACGTCCCTGGAGACTAGGCTCATGCTTGGTTTCCTGTCTTTAAATGCCTCTACTTTGCTGATCATTGTAATGACATCAGAAACAAATCATGTGAGATGCTTACTCATTTTCTAGTAGAATGCTAGCTATTTTCAACTACTTCCTTTCTAGTTCCTAGACTGATAACCAAAATCCTTTTCCTTTCCTCGGGTATTTTATGAAATCAGAATAACATGTTGTATAAATGTCATACCTATTTATATAAACAAAAACACTTCATTTTTGAATTATGAATGAATTGCTAAATTCAATAAAAATTTTAAATAATGTTTACCGATTGCAAAACGAGGTCAATCAGAGGCTCTTAGTGCAGTCAAATCAATGTACCTTCCACTAGGTGGCAGACCTTGTCAAAAAGTTATGAAACAGAGAGGAAAGAAAAAGAAAAGAATCTGTCTTCCAAAGTCAGCCCCTAGGTGTCTCTTTGCAACCACATATCCATGAGCTGTCATACAAAATAATGGATAAATTCAACATTTTCCACTGTCTTTCTTACTCCTTTTATAGATAAGATCGTAAACACTGTCCGCATAGTACATATTGAACAATGAGGAGATGAGTATCTTACTGTGCATGGCACACAAATCATATTATAGCCATCCAAAGATAAATGAGATTATGAAGCTGTAGCTAGGGAAAGGATTCTGAATACAAGTGATTTGTTAGAAAGCACATTTCTTTAAAATGAAATTCCTAAGTTAAACAAGGTTTTCTGTTTGAAGTAATCTCAAATATTATCTGATCATACATGATGATACTTGTGGAGCCAGTGGCATTCCAGCTAACTCTAGACAGACTCAGGAGGCTAGTGACTATGAGCCTAGTGAAGACAGCCCAGAGGACTCACAGGAAATAATGGAAATGCCTAAGTAGCAGAGGAATATCCTGGCATCATTTTTTGCTGATATTGATTTTCACTTCATGCACAAGCACACACACACACACACACGCACGCACATATTCATATGTGGCACTATAAGTTTCATTGAGTATATATACTTGTGTATGTTGGGTGCCCATGTGAGTTCCATCTACATCTTCAGAGAGGAAATGTTCTCATAATGAAGCTCAGAATATACAGTTAGAATCCTATGCCCACCCTGATAATTGTCCTTTTGCCCATTGGGAAATATGTATCCCAAAATCATTCTGAAAGACACTAGGAATGTGTACTAAACATCATTCACAGCTAGTGAAGTCCAGATACTAAAAGGAAACTTCTTTGACTATTACAGTTTACTTTGTCTGAGACTGGACTAAATCAGGAATCAGGAATACAATATAAACACTTGCACACAGATACATATATAAGCACAAAAACCACAAAATGGCATCCCATCTTTGTGATACAAATTTCAAAGGCACAGATAATATGCCCTTTGTTCCTACCTAACTAGTTTTCTTTTTAATCAGTAATGTGTTATAATATTCTCCAGACATCATAGCCAAGCTCTGGATATTTCCTAACTTCATATCACTCAAGGGGGTTAATCACCTCTGTCAAGGTTGATCGTGCCACAGACTAATGCTGGGAAGAGGGGCCATTCATTACAGTATGGAGGGATAGCACAAGGCAGGATTCTCTGCTTCTGTCAAGCCATGCTTTCTACTGGTGCAAGACTCACTCTGTTTTCTGAACTCAGTAGTTAGGACTGCATTTTACACACACAAATACCTCAGTATGCACAAATCTCTGTGCAAAGTAAACTCATCCCAACTACATCCCCTAACCTCACGAATTTAATTTATTTCTCCATTTGGCAGAGCAAGAATGTGTCTTTCATGGAAAAGACTGCAGCCCAGAGAAACCCTACAGTCCACGGAGCCTGTGGGGGACAGTCCCAGACCTTTAATTTGCAAAGTTTTCCGCAAGTTACATTGGTCAGCTTCTTCAGAGAACAGCGGAAATGAGAGACTGGCAGGTATGCCCCATCATGGCAATTAAGAAGCAGTTTATGCGGGCGTGCAGATTCCCATGCAGGCTTCAGCAACAGTTCCAATGGGAGTCAGGCGCGGGAAAGGGTCCTTGCCCACAGGAATGCAAGCTTGGGGTGGGGTATATTCAAGCCTCCCTATTAAAGGCCACCAGAGTTGCTCATCTCTCCCCATGCCCCAGCCCACAGGCAGAGCCTGTGCCTTCCGTATTGTCACATGGCCAGCGCCCACCTGCTGCACCCCGGCCGGGCTGTGTGCACAGACAGGAATTCCTAGGACAAGCACCTTCTTCTCATGCAAGGACTCCTCCAGTCAGCCTGCATATTTAACACCCGATTATTACCAGCCTGGGACTGAGTCTTACGAGAGCAAAATCCATTTGGGTTTTTTTCTGACACCTTTTTGTTTTCTTTCATTGCCTTCTCTTTTTATTCCAAAAACAAACGTGCAAAAGCTGGTGTCCTTGCTTTGACAAAGACTCTGTCCCCGGCAGGCGAGAGTGAGTCTTGTGGTCGATGGCCATCAGCAGCTCAGAGGCAGGAGCCCTGTGGCTAACAGAGCTTCCTCCAGAAGAGTCCTTGCCGCTGGCCACTGGGTGTGCCCTTGACTTCCCTTGTCTAAATGCTGCGGCCGTGTCTGAGCAGAGCACCTGTTTGGTGTGACTCATGCTATCAGCGCGTGGACGCTCCCTCCTGACAGGAGAGCAGACCTCACACAGGTATGCAAGTGACTCGTGAGCACGCGGATGTGTGTACTGACATGCCTCATGCACCGTCCCTGGCAGCACTAGGCGCTGCCACACCACCTGCCTCCTGTCCGTGTGGGGCACCTCAGGTGCCAGGGAAGGAGGCCTCCATGGTTGAACCTCTATAACCCAAACTGAGGTTGTTTTCAAGCATAGTGAGTGATTGTTCAGCTTTTTAAAGAGATTTTTAAAAATACATATTTTGGCAGGTTATCTTGTATTATAATTACCAGCGAATAAACACCAGAACATTCTCTAACACTCCTCCATTGTGAATAGACTCTATACAGAGAGAAAGTAGGGGAGGAAATAAAAGTCCGCAGCTACTTGTATTTTCCCAAATGTATTGTGTCTCTAAGATAACATGCATTTTGCAGGAAATGGTGTGGGAAGGACAAGGAGGACTCCTGTGCAAATGAACCAGGTGTCTAAATCTGAACAAAAGTAGCCGGCTCGGAATCCCGACTCCGACTTAGACTCCAGGTTCGGACTGTGGTAGCACCTAATGTGAATTCATATTTTGCATTTCCTGCCCATCAGGTTCCCATAGCATAAGGAATCATCTGAATTCCTTTCTCTGCTTGACATTTAGAACAGTGACTGCTGGACTCACAAAAGGGACTCATTGAAATCAGCTCAGGAAACCTATGAGCATGGCCCTGGTACACAACACACACACACACACAAACACAGCAGTCTGGTTTTCTCACCCCAAGATTAAGCAGTTAGGCCGTCTGACAATGCACTTCTCACCCAAGTCCTGACATCACCACTGTTGTTTTCTTTTCCACATTTTTCCCCTTCTAGCACCTGTTAGAAATAAGAATAGGGTGGTCTTCTTGCAGATTTCTTCTGTCTTCATTCTTTGAACAAGTAGGAAGGAAAATGTGAAATGGACTGGAATGTTTGAAAAGATGGTTGATATTTTACTTTCAAACAGAGCCAGGTTAGAGGAATTTTAGATTTAATACCATACTCATAAGCAAGGTGTTTTTGCTGGTGACCCAATACCTCCTTAAAACTTCATAGATGTAGTGCTCCTAAGGGCATCCTTGTATATTTTTCGGTGCACTACAGGAAATGGGTTCATACTGGCATGGGTTATGATGAATGTATTCTGAGGGAAGTAGCCCCAAATGAAAGTACATAAATACTTGAAACATTTGTCTTCAAAGATCCATGCTAGCCTTTCTCGCTCATGAAAAAAAAAAAAAAAAAAAAAGCCTTGTGGTACTCGAACTCTTCTCAAAGGCGCTTGTGCGAGAATTTTCCACGGCCCATAATGACAGTTTAACTATTGTCCCTCCCTCTCTGCCAGCCTTTCTATCTTTGCGGATTCTCTCCTCCCCGGAGAAGCAGCCCTGCGACGGGGCTACAAAGCAATTCTCAGCCCCCATGGCTAACACGGTGACAGGACTACCTAACGTCCAGGAGAAAAAGCGCCGCCTCTGGCTCAGCCTAGGGCTGGCCGCGCACAGCGGCCGCCGAGCGCTGGGGCAGCGGCCGGGGCTGCGGACCGGGACTAGCCCCGGGAGCCCCCACACCGCGGCGCTTTTGTCTTCACACTTCCACCTTCCTTTCGCAAACGCCAAGAACAGCTCTTTGTTTGCTCCCTGAGCAAGGCAACCCTCTCCAAATGCCACTTCCAAATACAGGCGCTCCTGAAGCCCAGGCTCCCCGCTAGCTTGCAGGCCAGCTTTTTCCTTCCTCGGGCGGACATTGCGTGCCTTCGCCTGCGCGCTGCCCACATCTGGACGCCAGGCCGGCTCGGGGCAGCCATCGCAGCCCCTCCGACCGAGCCCCGGAGCTCCGGGAGAGTACGAAATCGGTGGGCAGAGCTAACGCAGGGACATCGACTCTCTTAGAAATATTTAAGCACCTCTCCCCGCCTCTCCCCTGAAATACCGAAAAACAGTCCATTTTGAAGCAGAATAATTTAGTCTGACAACAGATTCTTCCTCTGTTCACAGCTGTCCCAGGGGGCGGGGCTGAAACCTGAGCCTCTCGGCTGTGATTGGATCCTTCTTGCAAAAGAGAGGAAAAAAAAACCCTCGCAGCCCGAACGGGCTCAGTTCGTAAAGGAGCCGGGAGACCTCAGAGGCGCCGGCCCGTCCGCCCGCGGCACCTGAGCGCGGCCCGAGCCCAAGCCCGGCCGGCCGCGATGCTGTAGGGACCGGCCGCGTCCTCCCGCCGGACCGTTATCCGCGCCGGGCGCCCGCCAGACCTGCCTGCAAGATGCCGCGCTCCTTCCTGGTCAAGAAGCATTTCAACGCCTCCAAAAAGCCGAACTACAGCGAACTGGACACACACACAGGTAAACAAAAAAATAATGATGAAAAGTTTGCCTAGAACTGTAACGATATGCAAATATAAATAGGTGTGCCTGCTGAAACACTGGATTACAAAAGAGCTAACGTCTCAGCTGTTTCCTTTGGAAACTGTTCTAAAGGAGAGCTGGGCGTCTTTTGATCACCTAGAACTCGTTTTAATTCAAAACTTTGAAAACTCCTAACTGACAGGGAAGACTTTATTCAGCGCTGGCAGCTTCCGTCTCTGGAGCTTGTAGGTACTTGCACAGTGATCTGTGGCAGATGAGCCACTCAGCTACGTCAGTGTGCAATTGTTGCTTTTTTCCCTTCTTGGAGCTTCTTTCCTTCAGAAGGCAGCCTGACCTCCCCCCTGTGTTGGCTCTCGGCGGTTATAACACATGTAAATAGCTCGTTCCTTCCGTGGAAAACAGCTGTTGTGTCTGCTCTTTAGAAATAAGGTCTGGGTTCTTCCTCCTGGATGGGGCGGGAAGGCACTGCCTGGGCTGCGCTCCCGGGGTGCCCAGTGCGGGGCTGGCGGGGGCAGCTGTCAGGCTGTGTGTGCCTCCAGCACAGTAACCATGTAGTGGCCAGGGTGGAAGGGCAGTGTTTTCCCAGTGCGTGTGTCCTCTTAAACGAGGCTCTCTTCTTCATTACCAAGTGCTCTCTGTGTTGTCAGATCTTTCCTGCCTGTGGGTGTGTGCATGTTTTATCTCAGTTATTGTTTTTTACCTAAATCTCCTTCTCTCTCCTTTTCTTTCCCCCAGTGATCATTGCCCCATATCTCTATGAGAGTTACCCCATGCCTGTCATTCCACAACCAGAAATCCTCAGCTCCGGAGCGTACAGCCCCATAACCGTGTGGACTACGACGGCACCATTCCACTCCCCTCTGTCCAGCGGCCTCTCTCCTCTCTCCGGATACCCCTCCTCCTTGGGGCGCGTGAGTCCCCCTCCTCCATCCGACACCTCATCCAAGGACCACAGCGGCTCCGAAAGCCCCATTAGCGATGAAGAGGAAAGACTGCAATCCAAACTCTCAGACCCCCATGCCATTGAAGCTGAGAAGTTTCAGTGCAATTTATGCAATAAGACTTATTCAACTTTTTCTGGGCTGGCCAAACATAAGCAGCTGCACTGCGACGCCCAGTCTAGGAAATCATTCAGCTGTAAATACTGTGACAAGGAGTATGTGAGCCTGGGCGCCCTTAAGATGCACATTCGGACCCACACGTTACCTTGTGTCTGCAAGATCTGTGGCAAGGCGTTTTCCAGACCCTGGTTGCTACAAGGACACATCAGAACTCACACTGGTAAGAGAAACACCCTCCTCAGGACGGGGCTCTCTGATGGAACGCCAGCTGTGGGCTGGCTGTGGGCTGTGCATGAAGTAGTGACCCAGTGCTTTTGAGTGATGGGTGGTCTTTGATGGCCACTTCCTGACTGCTCCAAAAGTTGTTAGAGCACAGAGTTCTCCCTTTCTTGCTAACAAACTCTGCTCCAGAGACTGCAAACAGCATTTAGACTTTGGAAAGCAGACATGGGAGGTTGGTCTCAAAGATCAGTTAGAAAATCAGGAAAGGTGTGCTGACATGTGTATTCTGTGCAACTGCCCCCAGTAATCAGCAAATACGAATGCTGCTATCCTGATCCATTGATTTGGTAAATAGATGAAGATGTTTCCTATAGTACTCTCTTAACTACACTCTTGCTGTGATGACTATACTAGCACCTCTCGGTGAGTTGCCTAGTTGGGATGAAATTTGCTGTGTGCCTTTGGTGTTGTGTTTCTTGTGCTGCTGAAATTGTGCTTCTTGCACAAAAATCTTTCTGTGGAGAGTCAAGGCATTTAGACTGCCTTAGTAATAACACAAAAGGAGGGAAAGGGGCAAATACTGGGAAATATTGAGAGGTGTTCAACATTAATTGCACCTGCTGAGGCAGAGAAGCTTTGATAAGTGAAAGTCCCAGAGCTCCGTGAATTCTTTTCGGCGTGACTGGCACCAATAGTGGTATTCTGGGTAGGGTTTTATTTAATTCAACATTCAAATTTATCTCAAAGGGCTATATAGTAAAGTAGCTATTATTATTGGTATTTAAATCAGGTTTTGTCACTTCTCATTCTTCTGGCACAATGGTTTAGTTACCCATTCATGTTATTTGACTTTATGTTTTGACTAAAACACACTTTGTCTCTTTCTCACCTCCACCCACAGGGGAGAAGCCTTTTTCTTGCCCTCACTGCAACAGAGCATTTGCAGACAGGTCCAACCTGAGGGCTCATCTGCAGACCCATTCTGATGTCAAGAAATACCAGTGCAAAAACTGCTCCAAAACCTTCTCCAGAATGTCTCTTCTGCACAAACATGAGGAATCTGGCTGCTGCGTAGCACACTGAGTGACGCAATCAATGTTTACTCGAACAGAATGCATTTCTTCACTCCGACGCCAAATGACAAATAAAAGTCCAAAGGCATTTTCTCTTGTGCTTACCGACCAAATAATATGTATAGACACACACACGCATGCATGCATGCATGCGTGCACACATGCACACACCACACACACACACACACACACAACACACGAAGCTGCAAGAGCACGGAATCCATGTGTTTAAAGTTAATCCTTTCCATGTGAAGTTCAAAATTACCATATATTTACTGACAGCTAGATTGAAAGGATAAAAGACAAGGACCTTTCTCTTCAAAGATGAAGCGAAAAGCACATTGCATCTTTCCTTACCAAGAAAGAATGCAAAGATTTTACAATGCTGCCAAATCATTTCAACTGAAAGAACAGTATTGCTTTGTAATAGAGTTTGTAATAGAATTTCCTATAGGAAGAGAATTTGCCAGATGCTATCTCAGGTGCCTTATAAAGTATTCCAAGTTTACTTCAATACATGTCTGATGTCTGGTTGCCATTGTTGAACTAAAGCCTTTTTTTTTTTTTTTTTGATGACCTGTAATGCTTTAAACTGTTATTTTTAAGAGAGAGAGAAAAGGACAAGAACAAAACACATGAGAATGTATTAAAAGTATTTTTGTTTTGTTTTGTTTTTGCCGATAAACAGTATGTGCCTTGGGGGAGGAGAGAAAGATTAGCTTTGAACATTCCTGGTGCATGCTCCATGTCTTACTTTTTGAAAGAATTTTAATGATTTTTCTAAAATTAAGTAAAGATGGGAATAAGTGCAAGAGAGGATACTTAGAAACTCAATAATGTACTTAAACTATTTTAAATGCATACATCAAATGCAATAATACAACACCCTTCCAAGTGCCTTTTTAATTAATTGTATAGTTGATGAGTCAATGTAAATTTGTGTTTATTTTTATATGATTGAATGAGTTTTGTATGAAAGTGAGATGTTGTTCATGGCAATGCCTGTGACAACCTGAAGACTTGTGAAATCAATGTGTCTTTTTTAGAAAACCATTTTCAAGGTCCTTTTTTACAATAAACATTTTTGATTTAAAATCTATTGCTTGTATATGATTTTCAAAATTGACTTGCTTTATGATTAGTAACACACCACCATACCAATGTTTCTTTTGTTGATAAATGTGAATAGTGTTTATTGTGCACATCAAGTGTGACTTTACATGTTGCATTATAAGTAAATGCCAACTTTTTTTTTTACTATTAAGATAATACTCTGATACTCACAAAAGATAACAGTCATAGTTTGTAGACATTTCCTTTTCTAAGGACACTTTCTGAATGCTAAACATAGTCACATTATTAATAAACAGAAAACCTTTCAAAACTTTTCCTTTATGTGACTTTACAAAAGCAAATTGCAGTCACTTGTATCATCACATAGGCTACTGGAACAATTTCTAATTTTTTAAAAGAAATATAATTTAATGACATATAAGAGGAAAAATCAGAAAATTCACATGAGGAGATTAGGAAAAATATACACAACTTTTATATTTTATATTTACATTAACTAGCTGGGCAATCAAACCGTGAAAAGAAAAGCCCTTGTTTAATGATATCAAATAAGTGACATGTCTGAAGGGGGCAGGGAAAACTGAAAGGGTAAGTCGCCTTCCATGGCATTTGAACAAATTAGACAAACCTCCACCCAAATCTAGTAGGAACTTGATGAAAAAGAACATGTCCAGCCACTCCATTCACAAGTGCATATTTACTACATGCATATGTGCTAATCAGTGTGCAAAATCCTCACCGTCAAGAACTGTGCTCATTACCAAGGGGTGTATTTCGATTCAAACTCAAAGCCAGGATGAGGGCAGTTTCTGTAGATCACTTTTCTCTCTTTTGCATGATCAGAGCTTGCAGAATCATGATTTTCCTCTTAATGTCCTGGTGATACAAATAAAAGCTGTAATTAATACCTCAAAGATATTAGTGACAGACTGTTAACAAGTGGCCAACAAAAATTACCAATACTAGTCCCTTAATAGTCACTTGCATTCTACTGTATGTTACATGTACACTTCAGCCAACATATAAAAATATTATACATTTGAATACAAAAATTTCAATTTACTATTCTGGTCTTATCTTCTTTTGAATATCTCAGGGCCTATTTTGTCAAAGACAAAATTATTTAGAATTAATAATTTACAAATGCAAAGCACAATATGGCGGATAGCTTGTCTGGGGCTTTCTAAAATTAGAAAAAGACCAATTTAGCTAGGTGTATATGGAATAGAAATTGCCAGTGATTGAGTGTTTCCAGGCTAACATGTAGAAACATCTTGTAGAGGGAAAATGTGAGTGAGTCAGGCTTTCTGGAAGTCTGGTTGGCTGTCCAAGGAATCCTATCTACCCTTGCTTCCCTCCCTTGTTCATAAATGCACAGACAAGTAGTTTCTTGGTGGCTCCAATTTAAACAGCTGAGTTTCTAAAAGGAAAACCTGCTTAGGTTTAATTTCTTAGCAAAGCATTGGTGGTACTAGTCTTGTAATACATTCGGCTTTGTGCCAACCACCTAATTTCATTCAGGCTTAAAATGGTTTACTTTCTTGAAGTATCATGAGTCTGAATTAAGAAGCATCTGATACTGGGATGTGCTGTAGACACGCCTCAGTCAATGCTTCAGAACTTTTAGAATTTTATCAATGTCTCTGACTAGATACACTCTTCCACAACACATGATACCAGCCCCAGTGTCACTTATTTTGAAATATGTTTACCAACCCTCCTCCTCTGGGAGTTTTCCACCATTGAGATGATAATATTCACCTCATCCCATCACAATCTTTGGTTGATATCTTTCTTTTTAACATCCTGGAAACAGAAACTCCCAATACCTGATGTATCACTGGGTACACAGACATCAACACATGTTGATAGGATGTATAAGTCAATAAAATAATAGAAATTGGTGAGACAAGCTAAAAGATCTAAAATAAATTCAGGATATTACCCTTTAGTGCAAAGAGTATTGACAAATTCTCTGAGAAAAAAATTATTTCTGTGTCTCCCACCCTACTGAAGAGAACCCTAAAATAGATTGGGTGTCCAAGACGGTGAAGAAGGTGGCAAATAGGGTGTACATGGACCAGGCCTCCTAGACAATCTGGGAGCCTGAGTGCAGAAATCCATGGACTTTAATGCAAGTCAGATATGCACACAAGGGTTCTCATGCCCTTAATTTATTTCACATAATAGGAGGCAGTGTGGCACAGCAGGCAGATCCCAAGCTTTTAACTCCAAATCATGTGTTCATTGAATTATTCTCCCACCTCTCTGAGTTACTCATTCTTTCTCTGCCTCAGTGTCCTAAAAACTAGGAGCAAAGTCTCAATATCACAAATACAGGACTCAAGAGTCCTTCGCACTCGTGAGCTTCATATACCACACTGAGTTCCCATTGTCCTCATTAAGCGCTTAGAATGGGCCTGCTCTTGCATAAGCTCACAGGAGCGTCTCCAATGATATTTTCTGTGTGCAGTATTTCTTTATCATGGATAAGGATTTTTTTAGAAGATTTTATTTATTTATTTGACAGGTAGAGTTACAGATAGTGAGAGGTAGTGACAGAGAGAAAGGTCTTCCCTCCGTAGCTCACCCCCCAACTGGCCAGGAGCCAGGTGCTTTTTCCTGGTCTCCCACTTGGGTGCAGGAGCCCAAGCACTTGGGCCATCCTCCACTGCCCTCTAGGGCCACAGCAGAGAGTGGGACCGGAAGAGGGGCAACCGGGACTAGAACCGGTGCCCATATGGGATGCTGGTGCCGCAGGCAGAGGATTAACCTAGTGTGCCATGGCGCCAGCCCCACTGATAAGGATATTATACTTGGAGCGGCTGGCTAACAGACCCGAGGTAACACAGGTGGCAAGTTACAAAACTGACACAACCTCAGCCTCTCCTGGGCTCCAAAGACCCTGCTGTTTTCCAGGTCATGGGCAGAAGGGGAGCCTCCGCAGCTCCACGCTCAGCACGGTGATTTATGCACTGCAGGCATGTACTGGGGCTTTGCTGGGAAGAACAGTGAGACTGGGCCCTGAAACTAGATACAAGAACGGTGCATTAAGGGACTATCCTAACTCAGGAGTCAAGCAATGCACAGTAACAACCTTCAGAACCGTCTCCCAATATCTTCTAGAAATTCTCTTGGCTCCTCCCCCGCCGGCGCCAGCCCTTCCTGCCATGCCCTGCTCCGTGCAGCTCCCCGGAGCTCCCCTCCTGCATGGGAGCCCATTTCCTCTGGCCTGCTCTCCTGGAGATGAAAAGCAGCTGGTCTCCATCGTCTGTACATTAACACTTCATCTTCTGAGGGCCACTGTTACTCCCTCACACACCCACACTCCTCAGCCGGCTTTTATCTTCTTCGACAGAAAAGTCTTCCAAGTTAAACAGTCATTTCTTTCACCACTAAAACGCGGACACTCTGCTGGTGTAATGAGGCAATTATAATTTTGAAAACTATAAGGCCTTCCTGGATAAGATCCACATCTAAGGAGTTGTCGCTCGTGTAGGTATGTGAAGCGTTTTAAGCAAACTTAATTTGGGAATGAGAATCCTGCCGTCTAGGGAAGCAGAAATTCTCTGATACGGGGCGTTTTCTATCCTGCTCAGCTTCTGAGCAAGGGCAGATGAAGAAGGAAAGCATTGCTTTACCTGAGATGGATACGGGAAGTGGTGGGGGGTGGAGCCCTCTGATGGGATTCTCGGAAGAAAATGTGTATAATCTATGACTACAACCAATGGCTGATGGTAGGTTAGCTCCCTGGTGCTACAGGAAGTAATAATTACTTTGTGAAAAGCATGCATGTAAAAATCAACAAGCATGGCAACTTTTCCGTTGTGGCGCTTGGCCAGACTCCCAAACAATGAGAGATTAGCAGAGGAAATGGTAGCATATCCACGTCTGCAGACTCCAAAGGGGCTGTGGAGGTATTTATAGCAGTGAGCAGGAGAGACGCAGCGAGTCAAAGCTGGGGGTGTTTATATTTTGTACCAGTTCATTTAATGAAGCTCCTGTGGACATAGCAGGCCGTGTAATGCATTCAGGCGATGCTTCTGGAAATTTCTGGAGGTGGTGGTTGTGAGGTCATTTGAATGATGACCAAGTAGTTTCCGTAGGCAGTGGCCAGGGGGAGGGGCCTGTCATTCGTCTGCGTCAGCAGTGAGGACAGTAGAAAAGGACCTGCTGGCGTTTTCCATGAGTTTATTCTGGGGCTGAAATCGACGGCCTCCTAGGTCAAGAGCAACAGCTAATACATTTCTTCTACTACATCATTAGGAGGAGGCAATAGTTGATTGGAAGGAGTGAGGGTGAAAGCCACAGCTTCTCCCGCCAGGGAAAATGAAGTCGCCTCAGATTTCTTGTGAGTTCCAGCTTCTGCCTAAGACACATTTGAGGTAGAGTGACTGCAAGCTCTCCTGCGTGTTGTGTTCATGCTTTTAAAATCCTTGGCAGGAAGGCCAGCCAAAGAAGGAGTCATCTTCAGCTGTGCACAAGCTCCCAGGGCTGCAGACTCTGTGTCCTGGAATGTGTGTCTGGTGCTGTCAGATCTCACAGTACCCAGGCTCCTCTGTGGGTCCCGTTCACATCCTGGTTTGCTGAGTCTGGGTGGGGCCTGGCAGTCTGCACTTCTAAGCAGTTGCCAGGTGCTAGATGTCCCTGCTTTTTGGTCCTCATACACATTCTCTGAATAGCCAACCTTTCCTCCCCGGCCTGGCTCCTAGCCTCAGGCCTGTGGCATGCCCCAGTTTCTGCTCAAAGCAGCCAAGACAACCAATGGGTGGGGCAGGAGGCAACAGAGGGGTCTGGGAGGTGGCTGCACTTCACAAGGACCTACCTGAGGCAAGGGAGTGAGGTTATGCCCACACAAACGTGCCCACCAAAGCCAACTTCTGCTCTCTCTGCTCCCTGAAGAGTCATTCAAAGCCGTGATCCCCCATCGATCAGTGGTTCGCTCATTGTATCTGTGAGTTATGCATCTGTGGGTTCATTTTTGGATCAAAAATAAATTTTTTTAAAAAGATTCATTTATTTACT